GCCCCCCCCCCCTAAGAATATTAGTAACCTTGTTACTAACAGCTACAATTCGCTGCTTGTTTAGTCTCGTACCTTACCTAAAGGACTTACACACAAAAACAAATTCCACACTAAAATGTGTTTAAAATAATTAAATCATCGTGTGCGTGTGTTCTGTTCCTGAAACAGTCCATTCCACTGACCGTCGCTCCTTATCGTTTCATATTTTGCTTCGTCTCTCAAACATTGTGAAATCAAGAATAGTTCCTTTTCGTTACGAAATCTTCATGAAGTTCAGCTTCTAAGACTTGTCTTCTCGACCGCACTAAATGGAACCGAGCCCGTATTTTCAGAAACGCAAAAAAACGTCGTCTGCCCTCTTCCCATGCATCAGTTTATATTCCGGGGTTTCAGACATCGATATCGAAACACAGAAGTGAACTTCCAGTAACCAGCTGCTCCTTTGAACATCGCGCGTTTTACTCGAAGTTCGATTTTCCTCAAAGGCGATTTACGGACTTAGCAATGGCACTGAGTTATGCCCTTGTCACGCGTGTGCCAATATCATGTTTCAAGATTAAAAATGAAATGGGAGTCAGTTCATTTTGGCATATCTTTTTTTCAGATTTAATACCTTTCAGCGTAGTTTTTTAAAATGCATGTTTGAGGATCTTATAACTTGATATTAATTAGCCTATAGTTGTGCAGACTCTTGTCTTAGTTTCTTGTATTGAAACACTTCAATTTCACTTGCAACTATTTTGGTCAACTGCTTGTATCCATTACAATATAAACGTTCTTTGAATTCCTTATCGTGTTCCATAATAGATGACGGCTCTAGATATAAATTTAAATCCGGGAGAAAGAAACGAAAAGTTTAAAGGAATCATCGGCCTGGAAACCACACCCAGTATATAGGCGAAGAACTTTGTTGGAAGTTTTTGGAAGGAACCGAAAATGATGCTGAGTTGTTTTATTATTATTATTATTTATTTGACTGCAAATGGGTTTTTACCCGGTGGCAGTGGTCCTACAATAAGACACAACAAAACAACACACCACACTCAAAATAAAACAACTCATAATATTACAAAACCGTATAACCTAAAGTACATAACTTAAAAATTAATACCAACTAGACATAAGACAGTAACAGTAATGAATCACACGTTTCATCAGGACCTTCTCTTCACTTCACTACACTTATGAAGCCTGAAGTCTGAACTGGATTTATGATCGGCTTTGGTGGTTCTGATGTGTTATTGTGGAGGAGGTATTCTATCAATCTGATGCCAGCCTCCATGTTGGTATGCTGGTGATGTACCTTATAAAACGGCCGGTCCGTGTGTGTGTTTGCTGGAAAAATACATAACAGGAAAGCGGTCTGCAGTAATAGACTGTTTCAACCAGTTCTCTATTGTTTTGTTTCCATGGGGCCCCGGGGGGTGGGGGTGG